TTAAAGTTTAAACCTTCTGTCACTAAATTAATTATCTTATAGGCAACAGATTAAAACATGCATAACGAAATGATTGTTTATGAGCCAGTTCTAATACAACATAAAGGCTAATATTCTGTGTGCTTGACTTGATACACATTAATTCACGGTTTTGCTTATCTTTTGAGTAAAAACCTATGATCCATTTTCAGGAGTTTAAGCTCTGTGAAAGACTGTAGATCTTCTGTTCTATGTGACATCCGTATTTTCAGTCAAGAGTTTAATCACTATCAGAATAGTATAGGTCGTTGTTTTATTGACTCTTTTATTGAGCCCTGTTCTCACAGAGTACTTCAAGTAAGATGTGTTCACCCACTCTCTCCCAGGGCCCTCTTTATTTACAGTAGCCGTCTCCATAGTCTCTGGGTGTCACCAGCGTGTCCAGGAAGTGAACAATGATACCTAGGGACTGCTGATTTATTACCCCTACTATGTCAGCCTCTGTTTGCACTTAATCAGAGATAATACATTCATTTTGTTCAGGTGAGCGAGCTTAACAACTTACACATTTAACCTAAATCATGTCACCCTTCCTAACCTTAACCTGTCAGTACCCACCAAAGGGGAGAAAATGCCAAGTTTTTATGTTCAATTTTGTGATGATGAAGTTTAATGTGTGAAACACACAGGGTTTTTTTTAATCACACAGCTACACAGCAAGTAATACTACAAAAGAAAGGGGTTTATATAATGTAGACAATATTTAAAACAGACATTACTTACACAACAGTCACAGCAGGAATAAAATGACTTCAATAAAAGTGTATTAGTCCATTATTGTATCAGTAATTATTTGAATGTTTAATACATTTTGTGTAGAATACTGTAACAGTTTGGTCCTAAAACATGCTAAAATGTTTAGAGAGGTAGAAAAAAAAAGTATTTCAGGTTCAGATTGTACTTGCCTCCTTTAGTCATGTCAGACTTGTTGCTGTTGAAGAGCGGTATCATGATGAATGGAGACTCCACTCCTCCTCCTCCAGCAGCTGTATGCTTCTCTGTCAGGTGCTGCCAGTGCACTGCCTTACCTGTGAGACTGGCGGGGTGTGTGTGTTTGTGTGTGTGTGTGCGTAATACAGTAAACAGAGGATTAAACAAAACTACTGTTAAAACATTTGAGATACATAATTGCTTATCCAAGTGCGCCGCTGCACGTGTTTATCAGACAGTCTCTGCTATGTTTGTGTTTCTGGCTCCAGGCCAGGGCCTGTTATGTCCTGTGAGTGGATTATTCCTATAAATCTCAGGACTTTATAACCTGAGCACTTCCCAGAAGTATTGCATACGATCTCATTATGAGACAGAGAAACAGACGCACAACCATAATGTCGGGCAGTTTGAATCCATTGACTGCCTGAGATAATGTGGACTGAGACTGAAACTGAAACTTTGTTATGCACTTAAGAATTACTCTGAATTTGAACTAAGTCATTTGCCAGTTAATTTGGTATACAGCAGACCTGCAGTAAATCCTACCTTCATGAAGCTTATAAATGTTCTGTTTTTGTGTGTTTTTCAGAGGCATTGATTCAACTGTATGCACTATGGTGCTGTTAAATTGTACTGCATTATACAGAGAAGTGTTTTTCATCTAGCCTCATCTAGACTCTCATTGATATAAATGTGGTAAATTAATAGAAACACCTGTCAGTGTAATGTAATACAATTCAGCAGCACCACAAACTGCAGCTTCCAAAGTGACCATATAGTCGAATTAACACTCCTCTGCAATGAAACCTGAACATTAAGTTATAGTTAGTTCATTTATTAAAAGGACAGCAGTGTGCTCAGTGTGGTCATTAGCTTTCATTTGCAAAACTAGATTTATTTTTTTCACAAATGCAAATGATCTGGACAACTTGCACTTCAGCCACAGACATGGAATTCAGGATAATTTAATACAAATGGACACAAGGACACAGTGATAGAGGTACCCTCATAACACAGGAAAAGCCCTACTTATAAAGAAAGATACAGCAGAAAATAATTTCCTCTTAAATTCTAGGTTAGTATTGGACTCCCCCCCCCAAAAAAAATAAATAAATAAATAAAAAAAAGTTGAGAGAATTTTGTATAAAGGGTGTTTATGGTGTTTACAAAAACTGCAATTCAAGAAGCACACATTATGATGACTGAAAAGATGCTCTCTGGTGTACATCCGTCCATTACCACTAGATGGAGACACAGCTGCATGTTTGATTCTCATTTGGAACCAAGGTGAGGAGCAGTGGATATGATCTCATCCCAAACAGAGCATTATAAATAGCATTAAAGGGATAATACTGTAAATTAGTATTCAAAATGTAATGGCATTCTTTTGAGTTATACACCAGCTTGGTCAGCACGAGTAGGTTCATGTGTGCAGTGTGAGTGTGTGAAAGTAAGAAAGACGGATAACAACTGTCTCCCGCTCTTCTCTCTGTGTTTCTTCTTTCTTTCTGTGCCTGTGTTTGTGTGTGGGTTGCCTTGTCCGTGTGTTGTTGTTGTTGTTGTTGTCCTCCCCTGCTGGGCCAGGCCTAGCAGTAGACGGTGCTCATAAATCACCCCTTATCAGGGTCCTCTACTGTTGGGAGGTGCAGTGACTCAAACAGCTTGGAATAGTCTTGAATCACCCCCTAGTTAAATCCTGCACATATAGGCTGCAAGATAGCGGCCGTGCTCGCTGGCGCGGCATGCTGCTTTAAAAGTCAGATCTGCCGATACACACTGTGCTCCTACATCTAAGCCAGGGCTCATTGGCACTGGAGGCAATTAAGTTCACCCATGCAAGTCAATTCAATTATGCATCTGTGATGAGCCCTGAAATACCACAGAGCAAGACGTATGGTGGGCCCTCACACTAGGTTACTTTGCTTTTGCAAAAAAAAATAAAAAATTCTGAGGTTGAGTGTTATTAGGAGGATATTCAAGTTTATGTTCTCTTCTGTAAAGTTCACAAAAACTAAATAACCAAAGTTTAAACTAACATTGCAGATCTGTTGTTTACTGAGAAATTTTTTGCTAAATACATTTGAACCTAATTCAGGAGGTTCATTCATTATGACTGCACTTAACTCAACAATGATCTTCATCTCCATAGGAATCTCAACATCTTTGTTTTTATGTGCACAGCAGAAAAAAACTAAAAGTGAGTAAGCTGAGGTTGAACAGCATGTAAAACTATCAGAGAATAAACCAGCCAGGCTGTAATGGGGAATTAAATGGAGCATTCTGCTTTGCTGTCTTTCTGGCTGTGTGTGTGCATGTGTGTGTGTGTTTGTATGTGTGTGTGGACACAAACACAATGAGCTCTCCGAGGAGCTGTAACTCAAAGGGATGCTGACTGAGCTGGAGGAGAGAAAAACAAAGAGTTGTTCCTGGGAAGATGGCCGCTTCTGGCACCAGATCACAGCTTGTACAGTCGAAGCAGAGGGAGAGCCTGGAAGTGTGTGTGTGAGCAATATGTAAAGTAGCGGAAATGAAGGTGTATAGCCAACATTACTCATAGAGGATTTCTTAATTAACAGTCAATTGGGTAACCTTGAAGCGCTGGCATGGTTGGGTTTAACTGCATGAGGACGGTTTATGCTAGTGATATCGAGTATCTGTCACCGACCCCGTACATATTTTGACCCAAATGTTGATTAAAGCAACAGTCAGCACTGGCTAAAATTGCTGCTACAGAAGCGGTGAACAGATGGCAGATTTCTTACCGTTAACATTAAATCAAGCTGTTTTTGTCTTTGCTGTCAAGGACAGTGTTTTCTTTATTCAGTACAAGCTAGCAAGGCTACCGAGTGTTTCAGTCACATTATTCTCACCTTACAGGTCGTAGCAGTCCGTCAAGAGTCTTACAAAATTGGTGGTGAAATTATGCTATTGGTTGCATTATGGGAAATGTAGAATCCAGTGGTTTTGAAGCTTCACCAATAGAAGGGACTACAAATCAGGATATCTGAGCCTCTGTTGCTTAAGTATTGTCATTCTTTTAATCTGTTTGTTGTGAGTCATCTAACCATATGAAAGGGCAATACAAAATCTATGGAGTACCCCTTTACTTACCTTCTAATCATATTTGACCAGGTCTGAATGATGTTGGTAGTAACGGACACTCAAAATGTGCGACGTAGATTGCTTCTCAACCAAGCAGTGTGCGAGCGACTCTGACAGTGTTTGTGCATTTCCATTATGCACACCTAATTGCATCACACGCTATTTCTCAGATGTCTCAGTAACTTACAGTACACTTAGTAATGCTTTTGCATCCCACTCTGATGAGAAAATGTATCATTAGGAGCCAAGATAAAAATTGGTTTGTCATTATATCTGTAGCTCGCCGCAGAGGAGCTAAAAGCACCAACTGTATTCTTTTTCAAAATACAACAAGCTAACAGGCGTATAATAAACCATGTTGTTTTTGAGTTTTGTTGAGTGCTGCCACCAGAGGACAAGCTCGTGTGATTGCATGTTCTGTGCAGAAGGCTGCATATCCCAATCCAATCTCATGCTCTGCCAGAGAGATATTTCTCCATAATTTGACTATGAACCAGGACTATATATAAAAAAAATAAATAAAAAAAAACCACCACAGGTCACAAACGTTTGAATAATTTCTCTAATCATGCAGAACTCCCATCACGAAATACAAGTGAGCATTAGTCCACTGACAGCATGTCCAACAGACACATGAAATGATGTGTATGCAGAACATTTTCTGTTGGGTTTAATGATGAAATAGTGACTGTTGATACTGGTCAGGAAAAGACAATTACTTCAAGGCTGTGGAAGTGACACCTCAAAGTGGTCTTTAATCTTAATTTCGTTCTCTAAAGGGCACGTGTCTGACAGAGTAGGACATTATTGATCTGTGTGACTCATTTGTTTACTTTCATCTCCATTTTCCATGGCCCACACATGTTCGCAGGGTTGACATGCTGTTTGAACCGCCACTGATAGCAGTGTCCTTGTCATGCTCCCTTTAGGTCGATACCTGCGCCTGAAAATGTTCCGCGAGGATCATGGCTCCTGGATGACCATGTTCTTCAGCACCATCCTCTTCCTCTTCATCTTCTCACACATCTACAACCTTTTCCTGCTGATGGCTGGAAGCATGAAGTAAGCCATTCAATCTCTCTCTCTCTCTCTCTATCACTACCCCTTTTTCCCTCATTCTCTGCTTCCCATTTGTTACAGCCACTGTGCGCTCCCCTTTGGCTGGCGTGATTGATCTAAACGTCTCGCCTGAACAGAGACTCGATGCCAGTCTGATTAATCAGCCCCGACGTTAAATCACAGGTAGGGGCAGACAAGGGGAGGGTGGTTAATCCTGAAAGATCACCTTCAGCACCCGCACTTATTCTCCCATGATCTTGACTTATTTTTTGACACCTCTCTGGCCGGAAACCAAGACGTTTTTGCCACGTCTCGCTCAGTTTGGGCCTTGGTTTTCTGCTCCTGTTGCACCGGCTTACCTGCTGAGAAACCACTGTGCACAGCAGAGCTTGACACCCACACATCAAGCCTGTGACAGGAATCCGTTTATGCATTTGCAATGTGTCCATCTCGAGGAAGGAAAACATGCCCTTGAAGCCAGCCAGACACGAGGTCGCCACAAGGTGATTTACCATTGTTTGTTAGGGCTGTTAAAAAAAAAAAAATAAAAAAATAAACAGCCTGGCAGGTGTCTATTCAAGTACAAGCTGTCAAAAGGGAGGCCAGGGCAGTAATGGGATCTGTCCATACAATGCTGCTTTTCCATATTAACAACAAGCATCAACTATCCATAAGGTGCAGGGAGATGAAGGCTATTAGCTAGCAGGCAAGGTGTTGTGTTTTCCTATGGCCAGAGGGATGAGATTGTATAATCAGCCCATCTGTCACTTCGGCCAGCGCGGTGACATCGGCATCCATCTTGTCCCGCTCTCTGGTCGGCTCGAGAAAAAGGAAGCGAGCGGCTGAGCGGAGAGAGGCAGGTCCGCTGAGACGATGAATGTTGCTTGCTCAGGGAAAAGTTACATTTGCAGTCGCACTGAGTGCATCTGTCACAAAGAGGATTCCTTTTTACTGCCTCTCATTTCAGCTTCGAAAATGTCGTGAAAAGGGGCCCTTTTTAGTCTTGTCAGTGCATGTTTTAACTGTCAGGATTGTTTCACTAGATGACATTAGGATAATACACAGGAAAAAAATAATGAGTTACTCAGACATTTTTAGAGACGTAACATATAATTTATATCCATTTTACATGTGCAAGGGACACACTCTCTGCTCATATTAGCCACATCAGTTGTCCGGATATAAAAAAAAACATCCATAACAGCTCGTTCAACAATTAAACTGGCTGACACAACACCAAAGCTCACCCATAATTATTTGCTTCTAAATGCGTGTCGAGCAGTGGTGTCGGTTATTCTAGCGTTGTAAAGCTCTCCTCACAAAGACAGATGGTGCTGTTGTAAAGCGAGTGAACTCGGCGCTGCCAAGGCACCTGGTCGTTTTCTGCTCTCGTCCCGACCCCCTCCCTCTCTCCCTCCCTCCTGTCCCTCTTTCCTGCTTGTTTTCTTTCTGCTCCAGCAGTGTGTCCACCGAGGACCCGTTCCCTGCCAAAAACCATTAGTGTTCACATCTCTGTTCAAGACTGACATGTAAGAACAATGTTCACACTCTGCCAGGACACCCCTCAGAAGACGAGCTCCGGCGCTACGATAGCATGAATGCAGCAGAGTGAGCAAAAAGGTGATGGAGGCTGAGGAGGCGGGAGGGAGAAGTGCTCCAGCCCTGATGATGCAGGGAAACTTAAGGCTTTTGATCTATGTCCAAACCCTCTTTGCATCAACTCCTCCCGCCCCCACCCACCCACTACTCCAACCATTGCCTCCCACCGCACGCAGCAAGACTGTTGTAGTTTTCTCTTTTGCCACAGCACAAAGGAAAAGTAAAATATCCCTTTGTGGCTGCAGCTGCCCCTCTGTGGGAATGAATGGTGTTTTTCCTTTTCATTTGTACTGAAAGAACAAGCCACCGTGAGGTATTATTACTGCCAAGGGTTTTTAAAGGGTAGGTATTTTGGCATGGGTTAGCCGGCTTTGACATCTAGCCATGATAGTGCACTGCAGGGGATGCTCTTCCGGTGGCTAGACAGGGCATCCCGCACACACCAACCACATATTGTTCACGTCTCGCACCTCGCTCATGTTATCTGGGACATTTATGTGTATGTGGGAG